TGGATCAGCCCTTCTCAGCTGAGTTTTTGTGCAGCAGTATTTGGAGATGTGGGCAGGGCACCCCAAAGGTCAATGTGGCGGATCTTGATTTTTGAGTTGGAGACTCCTGGCTCGATGCTTGGTGCTAGGGTTTGAACCTGGGGCTCCTGGTTCCTTAATATAAATTATTTTTAAAGTCAAGTGATTCTAATTCCAGGATAGTCTAGGAATTACAGCAACCTCCCAGTTGTGTGCTATGGAAATTAAAGAGGGTCATCCATAAAGGTTTCTGACCAAAAGTGGTTAAGCCAAATCTAAACTAGCTTTACATTTATTGCCAGATTTTGTATATCAGGGGACAGAGAACAAATTTCTAGGACAGGATGAAGAAAGAGACAAGCCAAAATTACTGGAGTATTCATAAAACAATTAGCCTGTGAGCTTTAAGAAAGAGTTCCTATGTGGGCCTGTGGGGGTGTGCGGTATAGTTGTAGGGATGGGAGGACTGATTTTGGGTGAAAGAAACTGAAGACATAAGCAAATGCAATTCATGAACTCTTGAGTCAAGAGGGGTTAAAAAAAAGCTATAAAATATGGGGCAGGATCGAGAAACTTGAGTATGGACAAGGCTTTTGAATATAAGGGAATTATTATCACTTGTCTTGGATGTGTGAATTTTATTGGGACTGTGTAGGAAAATGCCCTTATTTTTAGGAGGTGTGTGCTATAATATTTAGGGGTGAAGTGTCAAGACATCTGCAACTCATTTTCGAGTGGTGTGGGAAAAACGTCTGTGCGCATTAGTGTGTGAGTGTATATCCCATATCTCGATGGAATAAACATGGCAAAGTCTTAGCAAAGGGTGGAGCTGCAGGTGATGTTTCTGAATTTTCATAGTGAAATTAGAAGACGGGACCCAGGTGAGTAAGTCAGTGAGGTAGCAGTCTGGAAAAATCACCCTGGCCGCCCTCCTGGCTATGGCCTCATGGGGTGGGCACGCACCTGGTTTAACTGGGATTGAATCCTTTCATTTGGTCTCTGCCTTTCTAGGCAGTTGTGAACTTTGCTCCAGGTGTCTGTGAGGGGAATCCCACCAACAGTGTAGGTGGGTCAGCTTCCTCACAGGAGACTGTGGAAGATTGGACCCAGGAGAGAGGGGAGTGTAAGTCGGTTTACCAGCTCAGCTCAGCGTCATCTTCCCTGCTGCCTTGCAATATTGCGGCCCCCAGAGACCCTCCCCAGCCTGTAGACGTGTCTGTCTGAAGGGCAGCGTTCTTTGTTTAAAAGAGCAATTTAAAAAACTACAGAGAAAGAATCCTGGTCATGCTCTCTGTATCTCCTCTGCACACATGAATGTATATGTCTTTTTGTGTGTGGGTGTGAGCGCGCACGCACACGCACATGCACACACAGGCATGCTATGTGTCAGCATTTGTGTGTGTAGATAGTGTTTCTGAAAACATGAGATCCAAACTTCAAAACCAAACTTAAAAATGTGCCTGCTGGAGCCAGAATGATAGTACGGCAGGTAGGGTGAGTCCCTGGGCCCGACTGCCACTGCCCAGCCATCTCTGGCTCTTGCAGGCTCCAGGCCATGGGAGCATTCTTGGTTCCTGTAGGCTCCTCACTGCCTCTTCCTTACTGCTGCTAAGGGGTGCTCTCCGGACCTTTGTGCCAGTTATGGTCTCATCTTCAGAAAGGCAATGCACCGTGTGCACTGTCCTCAACCTCCCAGAAGTGATTATCACATCAGATATCCTGGAGGAGAAATGTATTTGGAGGTGCATGGAGAGAGGATAGAAGGTGGAGCGTCAGTGTGGGGGTTAGGGTGAACTAAATGGGCTTGGAGAAGCAAGAATGACAATAAGCTGAGAGGTCTGTTCTGGGGACCTTGTGCACCTGATCCTGTGTGGTCATCGCATCATGCCCACAGTTGCACTTCCCCTGCGACCCAGGACTGACTCCACTGAGGACTTTTCTCGGACCCTCAGGAATACTACTATGCCTTCTGAAGTCCTAACTAGCAGCCTTGGCCCTGAGATCACAGCCAGAACACAGCACTTAGCTCCCAGCACTCTTCCAGCAGAGAAGAATAAAATTCTTGCATTAGCTCCCACTTGTGTGTGGGAAAGGGCGAAGAGGCCACTGAACCTAGAATTTGGGGATCTATCTTAGCACAGATAAGGAAGCTGTTTTTCTCAAACCGAAACATGGGTCTCTAAATAACCCTGTCTTCCATTTGACAGTTTGCTAAACTGTCCACTCTGTTTCTGAAGTTTCCCCTCTTCTTCCCTCCCTGCCAAGTTGCTTTCCTGCCTTCCTGTGTGTGTGCATTTGTGTGTGTGTGTGTGTGTGTCCATGTGTCCATGTGTTCATGGAGATCCAGGTTCCTTCGGGGTGGCAGAATGCTGAGGTGCCGGGAGAGGACAGGAGCAGCCGGGAGTGGGCACTTCCGCTAAAAAGGGGGAGTTTCTGCCTGGATTAGACAGACTGGGTAGCTGGCAGTGCAGTGTTCTCACCTGGAGGTTCAGGATGGCGGAGCCTGGTGGGTGAGACCTATCCTTGAGAACTCTAGGTCTCAGCCCACTTTCTTGTCTTTCAGAGGGAGGCCGGTTCTCAGGGCACACACTCCCCTCAGAGCACTCTCCTGCAGGTAGTTTTGTTCCACCTGTTAACGTGGGGAGGGGGTGAGGACAGATGGGCCCTGCCCCAACACTAGTTTATGTACTGCACTTGAATTTGATGGCAGTGGGGAAATGGGGACCAACCCAGGACCCTGTGCTCCAAATGCACCCAAGGAGCCCGTCTTCCATCTTTCGTCTCCGTGGGCCATTTCCCTTAATCCCACCGCATGTGACTGGGGTCACTAGTGTTGAGGGAAAAACTTCAGAGCACAAGGACTCACCCTTTACTGAGCACATCTTTGTGGGGCACTGTGTTGGTGGCCTAACTGTCCACAACAGACAGCAGTCTGAGGGACTCTGAGAGCCAGATATGCTGAACGTGAGCTTAGATGTCACTGTGGTCTTTGTGGGGAGAGCTGGATTTGGAACTCAGACCTGGTGAGTTCTACCATACTTGCAGTGGGTACATCACTTCCTCAGTGCCGTGCAGGCTTGTTATGTGTGTGTGTGCATGCGTGCATGCATGCAAAAGACACACACACTCAAGTACTTACACACTTATACCTTTTCACACATACACTTAGATATCTTCTCACACTCATATACCTTCTCTTACACACACTCACATGAACTTTCTCACATTCATACTCATAGACTCACACTCTTTTTCCCAGGCACACACTCATATACCTTCTCTTGTACTCACACTCACACACTCTTGTACTTTCTCACACTGATACACACTCATACTCAAACTCATACTTTCTCCCACACCCATACACTTTCACACACATTCTCGTACATTCTCTCTGTCACACACACGCACATGCACACACACACACACACACACAAACACACTTATTCGTGTCTATGTTCCTAGTATGCCACTTTGTGGTGACATGAGGATTTTTCAGTGCTTTGTTGTCTTATGTGAGACCACGATCACCCGCACCAGGCTGTCATGTATGTGGTGCAGAAACTGCCCCAGGCCTCCTTCCTTCCTCTTGTCCTCCTGCTTCCAGGATTCCCTGCCCACCTGCTAGCTCTGGGTGGTTCTCTGGGAGGACCTCAGTTGATCAGACCTCACATTCAGAGCACTGCATGCCCAGATGTCCCCTCTGTGGGCCCTGAGCAAAGCCCTCTGGTGGGGCAGCGCCTGGGTCCGGGAACAGAGGAAGTCCTTGTATGCTGGTGAACAATGGGCATGTTGAGTTCCAGACCTGGGGGAACTGGGCCTTAGTAGGGGCACATGTGACAAATTGGGACAGTTCAAGGGGCACATTCCAAATGGGCGGGTTTCTGTTGTCAACAAGCTGGCTGTATGGTGACAGTCAGTGTTCATTCATCTGTGTCTGGATGATTCCCCCAATGATTAAGTCATGAGCTTTTCTGGTAGTGAGTTGTTTTTGAGGTTTTCTGCCTTGAGTGTTTTGTTTTGTTTTTGGGGTCACACCCTGGGGTGCTCAGGAATCACTCCTCCCATGGCACAGTGGACCATATGGGATCAAAGCCAGGTTGGTGGCCAGCAAGGCAAACCCCCTACCCTCTCTACTATCCCTTCAGCCCCTTGAGTTTTATTTAATGTCATTTACGTTTTTAACTCAACCCTGTGAGAAATGGATGTAAGAAAAGTAAGTTTGGGCCACAGTGTTTAATGTTTCCAAAGCAGTTTCTTTCCATGTGGGCATTACCTCTAAGGGAGTACTGAGTCTCTGCTAGTCCTTTGATTCCAACCAATAAAACTGGGTGGTGTTGCGCCCTGCTGTTAAGCAACAGTTCTCAGTGCAAAGTTAGTAACTCACATTGTACCAGGACAGCCAAGGACCCTGCAAACTTCTTTTAAAACGGGCACTGGTGGAGGGATGGGTATCTGATCATTGTATAATTGAAACCCAAGCACAAAAAAAATTGTAAATCTACAACTGTAAAAAAATAAATAGATAAAAAAAAAAAAAAAAGCAGATCCAGCGTGCCGACACGGTTGCTGGCCAGTCCTATATGGCTCTGTTTACTCCCGAGCCCTGAGACTTTTTTTTTTTTACTAAAAGACGGAGCCCGGGGTCAGAGCAGGGGCTGCTGGCACTGCCTCTTGGGGCGTGCAGCCTGGAGATAAGGGAACAACCCCCATTTCACCCCACCCCCGTTCCCAGTGGGTAGTAAGGAAGAACCTGAAACAATGACAAGCCGCAAACGTGCTCAGAGCAGCCAGCAACTGGGACCCAAGATCTGCGCTCCCTATGCGCCGTCCTTCTGGAGCGGGCGCCTGGGGCTGGGCTTGGCGCAAGGCTACGCCTACGTCCTCGTGGGGGGCGGGTCACTGGGTTTGGGGACCTGAGCCAGGGCGGGTCCTGCCACTAACCCCGCCTCCTGCCCACTGTCCCGTAGGTGAGGCGCAGCAACCCGGCCAAGGGAGCATGACAGCCCTGGACGGCGGCGGACGAGACTGCAGACGGCGCTGCCAGCAGCTGGCTGGGACGAGGAGCGCCCGGCTGGGAGAGTGAACACCCCTGGCCGGCCCGGCTGCCACTTCCTCCAGCGCCTCCTTCTCTAGACTGTTAACTCCGCGGACGCCTGGCTTTTTCTTCGCCTCGAATATCAATATGTGTCATGTCATTGTCACCTGTCGCTCGATGCTCTGGACCCTCTTGAGCATTGTGGTGGCTTTTGCCGAGCTCATTGCCTTCATGAGCGCAGACTGGCTCATCGGGAAAGCCAAGACGCGCAGCCACGCGGAGCCGGATGAGCCGAGCGGGGGCCCCTCGGAGCCCCACCACCCCACCTTGGGCATCTACGCCCGTTGCATCCGGAACCCCGGGATGCAGCACTTCCAGCGGGAGACACTGTGCGGGCCCTACGCTGAGAGCTTCGGGGAGATTGCCAGCGGCTTCTGGCAGGCCACGGCGATTTTCCTGGCTGTGGGCATCTTCATTCTCTGCACCGTGGCCTTGGTGTCCGTCTTCACCATGTGTGTCCAAAGCATCATGAAGAAAAGCATTTTCAATGTCTGCGGGCTGTTGCAAGGAATCGCAGGTAAGTGCCAGGTGTGGGCTGGCGCCACCGGGCTGCCTGATGACTCATTTATGGCCAGTTTCGAAGGAGACGCTCTGTGTCCGCTGGCGGTTCCTGCTCTCGGCTTGAGCCTGCCGTCCTCCTGGTGCCCTTTCCCAGCTCACTGTCCCCTACCAGGAAAAGGGTCAGCCCTGCCTCACCAGGACCATCCACCACCACAGTGCTTTCCTCCCATCCTAAATTGGTTTTTGTTGGAGGGACCTCTGCTACATTGTCAGCATTTCCCGTGGGGTAGGGCATCTCTCCACATCTGTGGGGGCACCATGTGGGAGCCCCACCTCTCTTAGGCAGAGTGGACAGAGAAATAGGGGTGCAGGTGGGTACGCTCTGCTTACCACCCACTCAGCCCTGGCTGGGCGGAATCAGGACCAGCTGTTCTGCTGCTGAATGATGTTCTGGTTTAAATTGTCTGTCTTCTGGAGCCTGGCCGCATATTCTACAGACTCACATCAGAACAGACAAGCTCTTGTACTTTTTGGGACTTTCTCTGTAATGAGCTCCCTTGGAATAGGCAGAGAGTATGAGCTCTCTGCGGAGACCCAAGAGGAGAGCTGGTGGCTCAGGGGAAACCCCCGCTGCTAACAGCACTTTCTCAGACTTTTCCGGGTGAGTCTGAAAGATGGTTCCGGAGCAAAGAAGTACCGGTCTGTCCAGCCTTAGGAGACTTTCTCTGAGCAGCCAAAAATCTCTCTCTCTTCTTTAAGTGTGTCTCTCTCGCTGAGGGCTAAGACATATTCTAGAAAACATGAATTTGTTTGTAGGAGGGGAAAAGAATCACGTTTTATGGGCAGCCACACTTGACAATGCTAATAAGGTCTGTGTTGATCCAGGGCGACCAACTTTGTACCTGGAGGTGCTGGGGAGCCATGGAGAGGGGGACCACACTGGTGTTGCCTAGCATGTGCTCTGCCATGGCATGAACTATCTCTCTGGCCCAGATCTCTCATGTTCTATATCTTATGGGGGGGGGGGGGGTAGGCCACTCCCAGTGACACTCAGCCCAGTTGGGTGGGCCTTGTGGGTCAGTGAACCCTAGTCCCTTGAATCCAGCAGTGCTGGCCTACTCGGGCTATTCGCAGCAGTGCTTAGACCATGTGCTGCTTAGGGATCCAGCATGGGGGTCTCCTCATGCCAGGCATGAACTTCAGCCTTTTTCATTATCGCCCTGGCCCAGTTTATTCACTTTGGGGGGAGATGGTACCTCCCCAGTGTGCTGGGGACACCAGAACTACATCCAGGAACCAGAGCCAAAGTACAGCGGGTAAGGGGTTTACCTTGAACGCAGCTGACCCAGGTTTGATCCCTGGCATCCCATATGTTTTTCAAGCTCCATTAGTGATTCCTGATTGTAAAGCCAGGAGTAAGCTCTGAGCACCACCTGGTACAGCCCAAAAAGAAAAAAAAAAAAAGAGGTTTGTCCAGGTAGGCTCTGTGCCAGGGTTTCAACCCAGGGCTCTGCACATTGTCCACCACATGTGCTCCAGCCCCTTGAACTGTCTGCCCCACATCACCCTGTTATCCACTTTTTCAGCAGTCATAATCAGCGTCAGGAGAACCCGAGATCCACCCACCACCACAACTCTCAGGCTCAGTGACTCACACCTGTGAGTCCTGATGCTGTGCGGTGGGGCACCGCCCACAGTGACCAAGAGCCCCTGGAGTCATGACCATAACACAGCAACCCCTAAATGAATGAACTCCAGGCTGCCTTGTAGCAAACTGCAGCTCAGCAGGGCTCGCGTCCAAAATTACAGATCAAACAACATTTTTTCTCCCAAAGAGCTGATAAGGAAATATTTTCTGTCTCTCAGATCTCAGCGACCTATGAGGGAGGGGGTGTAACAGCTCTGAGAAATGACCAGGCGACCTGCTTTACAGTCTGATGCATTTGCATGGACTCAGGACATGTACTGGGACCCTTGTCGCCTATTATCTGCACGGAGAGGCCAGAGCACAAGTCACCAGGCACTCATAGGCACGCGGGGAATGGGGGTGGGGGATTGAGGTTTCAACCTGGGCAGTGGCCAGTCCTGTTCCCTTGGGCACATGCATCTGCTCCTACTCCTTAGCATTTCTCTTCTGCAGTGGAAACCTTTGTTTTCATTTTAATCCCAGCTTTTTGATTCTGTGAAGCCCACTGCCTCCTTTTTGAGTCATTTCTGAAATCTGGAATGAATTCCCTTCCATTTGGCATTTCACCTCCCCGGAGTGTGGAACGGGAAAGGTTTCAGTGCTGATTCATTTTATCAGAGAAATGCCCCAACTGGGGACCCGGTGGTGGGGGTTGTACACATACATGTGTCTCTTACACTGCTGAAAGTTTGCCCAAGGCTTCTGAAAAGTCTAAGGGACAGGTAGCTCAAGGGAAGCCAAAGAGTTTGTTGGTCTTGTTGAGGAGCCCTCTTTGACCGGAGGCGGATGTGGTTATTTCACCAGCTTGACTGGAGCTGCCCCTTCTCTGGGATTCATTTGCCTTTAGTAAGCGCTGACACTCCACTATGGGAGTTTCGGGGCTGTCTTCCCTGGGACTGTCATGGTTTCAGAAAACCAATCGTCATTCACAGAGAGGGCTGGGACATTGCAGGCTTGACACTGGCCTGATGGTTTTTTGTTGTTGTTGTCTGCAGAAGTAGAGTGCAGAGTGTCCTTTAGCTGGGAGGAGTTGGACGGGCCATTTCTAGGCGGGAAGTGAGCTGATTCCAAGCTTTAAGCTTGCGAATTAATCCAGCAAATCTTTCTGGTGCTCTTTACTATTTCACAGAAGTGGCCAACTGGCACTGAGATCAGTACGTATTCTAGGCATTATTCATCCTCTTCAGTGACTTAGTCCTGATGCTTCTTCCCACACCAGACCCCTGGGAAGGTGGGTGAGACAAGGAAAGTCATCGTCTGCCAGGGACATTGGTCATGAGCTCACCTTCATCTGCCTCTTCCAAAAGTTCAAGTCTTTTTTTTTTTTTTTCCGTGCTCAGAACTTAACCCTGGCTGTGCATTCATGGATTACTCCTGGAGGGGTTCAGGGTACCTTTTGAGAAACTGGGGATCAAACCCCGGTCAGACATGTGCAAGGCAAAAGCCCTACCCACCATACAATCTCTCCAGCCTCCAAAGTCCAGATTTTCTATAAGAAAATCTCGGCTTCTTCCCACCCTTGCCCCTTAGGTTCCTGGATCTGCCTCACATCTCAAAGGGAAAAAGGCCCAAAATTACTACTTTAAAGCTTAGAGGCAGGGTTCCTGTGGAGCCCGGTTCCTTCTCTGGAGGCCACTGAGTGAGTGCTCAGAGTGGAAAAAGAGGAAAGAGCCATTGTCTTTCCTCCCAGAGAATCCGGGATGAATGATTCTTAGCTGCTCACTGAGGAGCCGCCCTTGGGGATGGGTGCCCAGCTGTAGGGATTCTCAGTGGCCCTTTCTGTGGACTTGAGGCCCGCACCGGGCAGTGCAGGCCACTCTTAGTGGCAGCCCAGAGAATCACCTCATCAGTATGTGAAACAGCTGCCCTGCTTCTCTTCTCCCGGCCAGTCTCTCACAGCATCTGCTCAGCCTCGAAGAGCGCAGACAGCTTGCAGCTGTGCACATCCAGCATCGAGCCCTGCAGCCTGCTCATTCCCCAGGTCCCTCTCTGCCCTGAGCCTACCAGCCAGTGAGCAAATGGTGAGAAACGAAGCAGTTGCCAGAGTAACAAAAGCATTCTTTGGAATTGCACAGTATGTGTTCCAATGCTTTTCACTGGGCTGAAATGACAATTTAACATGGAACTGAGTAAAAAATTTCGAGGTATTATAAGCACATACCTTTATGACGCCTACCTTGTAAGTTTGTATGGCCTTCATGATCTGCACTCAGTATAACAGAATCATCAGATCTTGAGGGTTTTTTGTTGTTGTTGAAGTAGAGTATAAAAGAATATGCTGCCCCTGTGAAGACCTCAGAATATAGGTTAAAGGAATGAGAAAATACAGTTATTATCATTACGTTAACCTGCTGGCAGAACTTGCCAGTTGGTGGCAAACTAACACCCGTTTGAGTTGATTGGAGGGGCTCCACTGACACTTTCTAACTGCAAGGTCTTGGGTTCTGCATGCAGTAGCCATTAGAGTTCAGACCTCACGGGCCAAGGCCAGTCCTGACCTCACTTATCCAGGCCTCCTTTTTCTCATTTGCGAAATAGTTCCGGTAATAACACGTACCTCAGAGTTGTTCTGAGGATCGAATTAAATCATAGAAGAGAAAGGTTTATGTTTGGTGCTGGGACTCAGTAGTAAGGACAGCTGTGCGTGGCTGTGGTGCTATAGACCCTGACGCTGAAATATTTCTGCTTTAGGGCGGGCTGCCGGATTTGGTATGATGTTTCCTAGAATTGCTGCATCCTGAGGAATGGCATAGTTAATCATTTCTAGAGTTGTTATTTTGACCAAGGGTAGGGTAGGGGCTTGGTTGTTTTTGTTTTTCTTGTTGTTGTTGTTGGTGGTGGTGGTGGTGGTGGTGGTGGTGGAGAGGCACACCCAGTGGACATTCAGCCTATTTTGAATCACCTCCCCACTCCCCAGGTCTTAAATATATCTTGTTCCACTAAAATATATCTTGTTCCACTGACTCCATTCAGTCAGGGCGTCTCAGCCGCAGATCCATGGAACAGTGCACATGTAGAAGGGTGTGAAACCTGGTCTCCTGCCTTGGTTGTAATTGTTCATCCTGGCGATAATACAGGGCATGTGCTGGTCCATAGGAGTAAGGAGGTTTAAAGATCAGTCCATCCCCGGACTCCTTAACTATAGCTTGTGTTAAAAGCTGTAGTTTTTGAGGTTCCTTGAGCCTTATTTTTAAAACTGAAGCACTAGAAAAACAAGCTCCCTGTTTCCTCGTGACTTCTCTCCCCAAGACATACCTTCTCCTTCCCTTCCTGGAGGACATTTATGCAGCTTGTTTGCAGGTGGCTCCTCAGCACCTCTGGTGGAATAA